GGTATTTTATTGTATATTAATGTATTATAGTAATGATAGATTGGTGAATCGGTTTTATATTTGTAAATTTTGATAAGTAGTGATTTTAAATTGAAAAGCATTTTGCTCTAAATGGCATTACTGATAAAAGTTATAATGCTTTTAACAAGAACAATTTCAATATGCAGTCAATTAAATATTCTGAAATTGAAATACTGTAAACTTTTTCCAATTGCAAAATAGCTACTTATGAATGAATGTGTGAAATAAATTGGTTTTAAATGTTTTGTCCTTTTTATTACAAATGGTTTTGGTGCATTAATTATTATAATAGACTCAAATAAAATGCAGAGCATGTAACAGAATTATTTTGCCTGCTTGATTGTAACAGTCTGAAATATATGCAATTTGTTCTTTCTTTAGCATATTGACACTAAACAGTATAACCCCACCAGAAGGATCATCTTACTTTATGTAAATGTAAAATGTGTGATGAGATATTGGAAAAATCCACTGATTAATTGAATTCTAACCAATTCATTCAATTTTTCATGCCAGTAAATATATTTAGACTCAGACATGCATTTTTACAGTTTTAAAATAAAAACTTGACTAGAGAGAATAAAGACAAGAATCATATTCAATATTTTTAATCAAGCTCACATTTGATAATTTTTTTCCCAGAGTAAACAAAGTCTTTCTAAATTAGATTAGATTAGTAATACAAGTTATGCTAAAAGTGTTTACAGCATTATTCATTCCAATTAAGGCACAAGATAGAACACAATTAGGTACATGATCAAAAAATTCAATCTGCTATGTTAATATGACAAAAATACAAGATTTTATGATCTATTTCGAGGCTGAAATATGTCAGTTGTCTGAAGATCACAGTGTGAAACAACATGTTGTTTTTAGGTTCTGCTGTAATATTTCTTGGTTTCTATGAAAAATAAGTATGTTTAATATTCTTTCATTCCTTGCTATTTATCTTTTAGGAGGTAAATGTCAGATATCAGATTAAGTGCCCATCATCATCATATAATCAACATTATCTTTACTATTTAGAAGCTGATATTCTTAAGAATTCAAAATGTTCTTCAGATTAAAGTTTTTAAAATAAGCAAACAATAACAAATACATGAAAACATGTAAAGAAAAATAAATAAAATTAGTAGTTCTGTCAATGCGTTCACTGGACAGATGGACAATTATTTTGTTACAAAAAAGTCACAGGTGAAAATATTTCAAATGAGTTACCAAAATAGAATCTGAAGTGTTTCACAAACCAGAAGAGCAGCCACTTTTGTGTTCAAAAATTAAAGTTAGCATTCATAGAACTAATCTTTCAACAGCATATTAGAAGCACAAAATATAGACAAATAAGACAATTTTAAGGTATGATACTTCTGGTATATTTATAACTTCAACGCTTTAATGTGGCTCTCACACTGCATCAGGAATATTTAACAAAATAAACAAATGAAAATTATAGAAAATATATATAAAAATCAATAATACTATAAAATTGTAAAAAAAATATGATATAAGATAATAGATGCAATTATTTATGCTGTTAAGTGGAACACAGAAATTTGCCAATAAAATCACCAATTCTAGATATTTTTCATTATCATTATAATAAGTAATAATAAAGTTTATTGATTTGTTGAACATTTTAGATGTAGAAACAACTTCAGAGATTACTATCAGAAATTTATACTTGAGCTTACTGAGGTGAGATCTACGTCAAATTTTAAACGAATTGTAAATAACTGAAAAAATAGTTTAAATAGACCTTAATTGTGACCTTAATGTGTTCACAGATCTTGTTAAATAATTTCATTATTGATATAATGAAAATAACAATTTTGATAATATCCTTATATATATATTCATTATATGACACTGTGCATATACAAATAAATGAAAATGATCCCAAAATTTGTTATTTGTTCTGCAAGCTATGTTAAACAAATTTGTTATTTGTCAAAACTTTGATATCTGCTTTTCAGATAATAACAAATGTATGAAAGTTATTTGTATGTACACAAAAGCCATGGTTCATGTTATAATATACATTTCATTAATATCCATATCCAAAAAATATCATATTTGTATCTGTTTTTGATTTTGATATGAGCTAAGAGTATGAAGTTAAAAAATCCTGAATAATTATGATCTCTCGTTGTTACTAATAAATCACTCTACAATTTAAACATCAAGCACTATTTATTTTTAATTTCTGTTATACTGTCTGATATAAGTTACTTTATCAGAAGAAAATTTTTTTTTTTATGTATTTTATCTCAAAATTGACATATAAAGCTGAAATTATGCTGTATCATCTGAAATTAGGCTTTATTATCTGGCCAAGCAAATAATAAGCTAAAAGAAACACACATACTGACTCTTGTAATAGTGTACAGTATTCACTGAAAAATGCCACGATCCACATGATTACATGCACTGCAAGATTGTACTATTTAAGTTAAGAAATGAATACAGAACTATTCACACCAACACAATCAGTACAGTACCAAATATACTAATAGTTACTATTAAAAATTGCTTGCCAGGCAAGATAATATAGGCTCACTGGCAGCTTTGATTTTGAATAAAAATATTTGTCAGTACAGTATCAATCACCAGTATGAAATATTCAACCTTCAGTCATACACTTCTTTTGAACTCTTTAGGGCAATACTGAAGAATATTACCAAGTTCATTAAAATCCGTATGGAATTGTGTCTTCTAGGGGTGCTAACAAGCACTCACAGCAATTTTCATAAAAATCTGTCCAGAATTGTGCCTTCTAGAGCGTTTACAAGCTAAATTTGTTTTCAGGAACAAGGGCAATAACTCATACTAATTATATTTCTGATTTTCATTAGAGTTCATCCTTAGGTGATAACAAACACTCACACCAAGTTTCGTCAAAATGTGAGTATTTGCGAACATTTCAAGAACAAAGGCAATGACTCATACTAAATATTTTTAGATTTTTCTGATTTTCAATAGTGTCCATCCTTGGGTGATTAGAAACACTCATACCAAATTCCATCAAAATCAGTCAAGAATTGTGCCTTCTAGAGTGTTTATAAGCAATTGTGACGGACCAAAGGACGAACATGGTTGACGACAATGTATGCCCCCCAAACAAAAAGCACTTAAACAAAAGCTTACAAATTTCTCAAAAAGCATTGTTATGAAGAGTTCTTTATTATCCATTTTAACAACTGATAGTATATTACATGTTGCACTATCAATGTTTAATTTTTGTATTAACATTAAATAAATATCCCAGCATTCAAAATGAACAATGATTTCCAAGTAATGAACATCTAGGTGGTTTGGATAAATTATGCTTTATTTTTTCTGCTCATTTCTCATCAAGTGTCATGTTTATTCTGATAGAATACAGAATAGTCATGATTCAAACCTTGTTCAAAATCCTTGACATTTCTCTGGTCAACATGTCCAGCTTCTGAACTCAAGAATCAAATTTTCCTAACCATTAAGAAAGAATTAAAGAGCTGTTTCCGATATATGTCTTTTCTCTGGTCTAGATTGTTCATCAATAACAATTTCCTCTGTTGATAATGGTGCTGTGGTATTAGATGGCTCTGTGGTACTAGGTCTTGAACCCCGTTGATATCGTGGTGCAGGACGATTGACATACATTGGTTGACGAACTGAAACAGCATGTCGTGGTAATCTCTGTTTCAGAGAACTGCGTAGTTTAATAGATCTGTCGTTTTGTAAAAACTCATTACTCTGAATTAAAGAGGCATGACAATTCTATTATGATATGTGAAACAGAACATTTTGTTATGTTAGGTTCGGTTAAACAGAACATTTTGTTATGATAGGTGAAACAGAACATTTTGTTATGATAGGCGAAACAAAACATTTTGTTATGATAGGTGAAACAGAACATTTTGTTATGATAGGTGAAACAGAACATTTTGTTATGATAGGTGAAACAAAACATTTTGTTATGATAGGTGAAACAGAACATTTTGTTATGATAGGTGAAACAGAACATTTTTTTATGATAGGTGAAACAGATTATAATACAAAACAATTTCATTAAAATATTTTAAAGATACATACCCTGACACTTTTCCATTGTGACAGTTGACGAAATTCTTCTTCTTTTTTCTTGTCCTATTCAAAAAACATCATTTTAACTTACACATTACACTTTTTAGCTTTATTTCACCTCTGCATAGAAATACATGTGAAGGCCTATATGGCATTTAAAATCAGTCATACCCTTTGAAAAGGAAATAAGAAACAGATCTGACATTACCTTGGTAACCCACTTTAAATGATATGTATTGAATTTGTTACAATAATAATGTTATACTTACTATACAACTTATCTTACAACTAACTGGTACCCAAATAATCATAGAAAATATTAATATTGTAGCTACTATATTTCTCTTCATAAACTCCACTAAAAATAATAAATAACATCTTATATTATATACTGCCATCTGACCTGTATGATACTGGAATACACATTATATACATAATATACAAAATATTTTTGAGTGTATTCTCAGTGATCTCATATTCTCATGTGTGCTCCTTAACCTTTATTGTTACCCACAATCCTACTAGCACCCTGGTTGAAGAGTTTTGGACCTTCTATTATTGTTGTAATCATCATAAATTATTTACAATGTACTAACCAAAGGCATTAGGTGTTAATTTTTCTATAAATGAAAACAATCGTTGAACCATATCTACTTCATTTCTTTTACAAACTCCATCCTGTTAAACATATAAAGAGCATTTGATAATTACTTATCATCTAAGTACTTGATATATTAAAATGTTCTATCAGAAGTCTGTGAACACTAAAAGTTTCTTGCCCCAGTTGACTAAGTACTCTGACTTCCTGCTATATTTAATAATAAGAATTAACTAGCTTGATATATATAGTAAACAGTTTTGTCTATTAATAATAATGATAATGAGAGAATAGACATTCTACTCACAGCAGAACAGGATCCAATATAACATGCTCTTCCCTGTGGTAATTTTTCATTCCCAAATTTTGAACATTTTCCTTGTTGATCACGACAACATCTATGACAAGCATCTTTTTCTAAATTAATGAAAATCAAATAAATAAATGGCATGGTAATTTTTCTATTCAAACATTTTCAAAATTAAATAGCCAATCAGAGTAGGTGACTTTATTGGTATTATGTTGAATTGTCATCTGCTTGGAAATAGAGATGATGTTGGTTGTAAGATGCCATTTACTTTTTTCACTGACACGCTTTTATAAATATAGATGAAATGGCTAGAGAAAATGGATGAAATATTACCATTGTTTTCACAACGACAAGGTTCAGCATTATTTAACTCACAATAAGATACACATATACCATCGTAACATTCTCCACTAGAAAAATATCAAAATCAAAATCATATATACACACAAATAGAACGTCATTATTCTCTTTTTTCCACATTAAATATTTACTATAGTGTATAATAAAATTACAGTGAAAACAACTACATTACATTGTAGAGGCATTGTAATAACAGAACTAAATCTTACCCTTCTAAACATTGTGTAGTATTACCAACATATTCTGATGGTGGACATTCTAAACTTCCACTACAAATACAAATAGTCATTATATTCAATTTCAGATTACTTCAGACAGATGCTTTATATCACCATATTTAGGCAGTGGAATAACTTAGTCTGTAGTGAGTCTGATTGTTGTCTGCTAGGTAATTAGGATTTGATTATTCCTCAAGGTAAAAAAAATTCTGATGCCAGTGCCAGCGCTTCTGGTAGTCTCTGTGTGAACTTTCAGACTCTGAATTATTTAGTAACTCTCTAACTAAGTAACTAAGGAGTATATAAATATTGTATCATCTGTATGAGTTAGGTAACAAAATATTTACCTGCATTTAGCTGTTTTAGTACAACCACCTTTAAAAGCTTCCCTACACACTGTATCTGTACTAGCTACTTGACAATCTACACAACATTCATAATTGACATTGCTGAAATAAAGAATAAATGAATCATATTAAACTACAATCCTAACAGTTTCCTACAGTCCTCCTAAAGTCAATCTAAGACTATTTTTAGTATTTTAAAGCAGATAAATTTATATAAAAATAATTGTTAAATGTGATTTACTAACAAAAGGAAGATAGTAAGTACATTTCAATTTTCTTTTTATATTCATATCAAATGTACTTAAAAATGCAGAATTTTTCTTAAAGATACATGTACACAGATTATCTCAACAGAATTGCAAACAATAACATGCTTACAACAGACCACCATCTGAAATCTCCTATGAAATGTCTGGGGGCATGCTATAAGATCATACTAACCTACATACAGCATTACCAATTAATTTACAATCTTTAGAACAACAAGGATCATTGCCTTCTTTCCCTGTTCTACCTCCATCACATTCTTCTCCACTATCTATTTTACCATTACCACAATATGGTGCATTTAAATCTTGTTCTGTAACACATACACAATCAAAAGATTTGAAATAATTCAAATTCTGAAGTTCATTATGGAAAACACAACCTAAATCTGCTAAATCTCAATGAAGTTTTTGATTATTCTTGATTGAAATCAGGTTATTATTTGATTGTGTTAATATCTACATATCTCTTAAAATAAACATTTTTTGTAGAGATAGGATTGTGAAATTTCATGCAGTATGAAAAGAAAACAATTTGTAGAGATAAACGCTTAAACTGACTCGTATCACACATTTTTTTCATGTTTCTCCAACTACATCACTGATATGGGAACAAGGATGAAAGATCTGAGGATAATACCTCATCTGGATCAAACCTGGAATCCAATGTTTAGCAAGCATCTAACTTTTTCAACCATCGCAGCTCCCCCTAATGTCAGCAAGAATTTGGTTGTTAGAAACATATGATTGTGTGACCCAAAAACCAGAAACTTACCAGTAAAACAATTAGAGGCTTTCGCTATCAACACATCTCTTACATATCTTCTACTACATGGGGAAAATTTCTACAAAATAGTACATACACAATTCATTTCATCTGATGACAACACGTGTAAATTGTGTTGAAACATTAGGTACTTTGTTATTAAAGAAGTGTGTTATACCATAATATACTCTCTGGTGTTTTCTGTTATATGTGCTCTCAACTTCTAAATATCATTCAAATATCACATACACAATATACAATAACAATGGAATGACCAATTAGCCACATGTTTTAAGATTAAAACAACAGTTTTGAGTTACCATTTAAAAATCCCACATTTTTTCCTTTCTACAAAAAACATTTCTCTATTTCTGTTATCTTTTAAGTTAATAACTTTGACATAAACCAAGCCAACTTACATCATTATTTTCATCATAACCTTTAACAGCATAGGGATACATAACAAATTTTCCTTTCCCTGTCAAAGATGATGGAGCACATTCATCAGTTTCTGCATCATGTTCACTTCCCCAATTATGACCTAGTTCTGAAAAACAGACACAATTTATATATATTGTGAATGAAATATTCTTCAGAAAACTAACCGTTATTAAGTCTTTTTTGTAACCTTTTACACTTAAGATTTTCATTCTCAGAAGTGTTAGAATGAATTTTGTATCAGATGTTAAATAATATGAGGGAACTAAATCTAACTGTTATAATGCATTTTACTTACCATGAGTTGTTACTAGAATAGCTTCTTTTGTTAAAAGTCTGTCACCATTGGTATTTTTAGAACTGGACCAGCCTGTATTTAACTTTAGGCGTATTTTGTCTTTCATGTAAGCTGAAAAAAAAAAATATCTCATGAAAATTAATTTTATCAAGAAAACTTTACATTGTAAGTTCTGGTTCTATTCTGGGAAGATTCTGATAGAGATAAGAGATATACTGTGATACCTATAATAAAATTTATATTGTACCTGCATTTATCATTCTGAACAGATTTATGGATAAGCAGTGGCTCAGGGAGCTTGCTTGTTAGTCTTGAGATCCAGGGTCTGATCCCTGCATAGATCAAGCTTATACCCATGGATTTTACATCATGGTTTCCCCCTGTCAGTGATAAAGGCACTGACATGGAAAAGCATGATAATTTCAACTTACCAGGTGAACAGATGCCGCCAACAGTTCGTTGTCTTGGTGACGCTATATATGCAAGACCTAATACACCTCCAGAGAATTTCTGATACGTTACTAAATGAGCTAAACAAAATTTATCATGATATCTTTCTCTACTAAAAACCTGCAACAAAAACAATATTTAAAAATCATTCCCATGAAACATAAAATCATTTTACAATTTACATTCTGTTACACTCTAAATACAGCATGAGCTCAATTCACTTAGAGTTTTTAATTTAGTCAACCTATATCAATACACTTAAATATAAAGCAACACAATAGATAAACTTCAAACCTCTAACAAATCTCTTGTAGCCCAGGCCTTCTCTTTAGCCATATTGTAGTGTTGAGTATTTTTAACTGGAGTGGCTTTTTCATGAATTTTGATCTGTGAATAGAAAGAATAAATAAATAAATCATTTCACTTTTACACCAATTGGCACCAATTTCAATTTTTCATTCAAAACATCACGTCTTTTTCAGCAGATAATATTGTATTCTTAGCATTTAATAATCTTATTTGAAGTTATTATTCAAGAGAAAACATAGACATAGGGTTTAAGTTTTGTTGAGATCAAATAATATGATAATACCTCTTTAATCTGAAAACCAATATTTGTCAGGTCAGTTGTACCTTCCCATTTTGTTCTTCTAAAGATACCATCTACAGTTTGGAATGTATTTATCTGAAAAATTTACAAAAAACTAACATTTGCTATCTTGAAAACCAGAACAACAAATTTCATTTTAAAAACTCAATTCAAAATTATTCGAATCAACTATAGGTCAAAAGGCATTTTCTCTCAACAATTAATTATTGATACCTGAGATTCGAAGGTTCCAGGGATATTTCAGCTACCACATTGTATTGTTGACTGTCTTCCCACTATCATTGGTATATTGAATTTATCAAAATTTGTTTTAGAAGTGAAATAGAATATAAGCTTTAAAACATGAATGATAGTCTTAGAATGACTTTGCTTTGATAATAATAAGAACTTTTTTAAGTTTGAGTTTTTGAATTTACTTCCACAAAATTTCAACCCAAAATTAGTTTTCAGCCTACCAACAATGTCAGCTTTTGCCATTAATTTTAGGTCATGAAACTTCTGCTAGGTTTCATAGACATCTAAATCGTAGAAAGAGGTCATCACTCGCCCCTAACAATCTTCATTTCATATCGTTTATTCATGATAACTATCATGTTTTCTTTTAGTTTGTATTTGATCTTTCCACCTTTTTTTGTATAGAAATGTTTTTTTCTCAACAATCATATCAAAATACAAATATTCCCCAAACATGATGTTTGTCTTCCACAATTTCAGCTGGTCACAGTAATCACAACTATATGAAATACTCAAATTTTCAAATTTTCATTACCAGTGGATAAACAGTAGACTGATATGATTAAATAAGATATGATGTCTCTGTTTATAAACTTTCAACTATTTGTAATTAGTGAATATACTTACTAAGTAATTAACAGTAGTATGGGGTAAACCACCCCCAATACCCTGATGAAATAAATGATCTGCTACAACATATATCTGGCAAGTGCTGGCTTTAGAAATCTGTCTTTTACTACGATTTGAAGTCTTAATAGATTCTGAAAATTGCATAATTTAATTGATCATTTATTTAGGGAACATGCAACATGCTCATTATAGCCATTGTTTGTTAAACACTGAACACCATTTACAACGGTAGCAGTACTACAAGTTATTAACTTCAGGCTTTATATTTAAAGGGATATAGATATGGGTTTACTAAAACAAGAACTCACAAAGAACTGCGCTCTTATTATATTCACCAAACACAATATTTGACGTTTTACTAATAAAAATGCCGAGCATCACAGTATGGTGAAAATCATTAAAAAATATAAGGAAAAAAGAAACAAACCTTTATCATCATAAATAATATCGTTGGGATCAACGTCTACTTTAATACCATCAGCTAATTTTTCCCTAGTGAGATAAACATCAAATTAATATTAAACTCAATCACAGATGGAGAAGAATAGCCAATCATTCCTGTTTGCTAAATATTCTCATGTTTAACCACCTTCCTCATTTCATCTGATGATAACACATGATGACTAAATTTCATAATGTTGTTCAAACCTTATAGAAATGATCTACATTGAATTAAGGGTCACAACCAAATGTGAGCAGATTAGTTGCCTCCTATTCAATGGTATGACTGCCAACAGTAATTGTAGCTTACATTGCATCTCTGAAGTCGCTGATTACTGCCTCTTAACAAGGCAAGATTTGTTTATAATGTAACTCGCTGCAATATCAACATCAGATCATGATTGAACTGAAAGAAGATGTGCATACAAGACTACAGATTTCAACTGGTTAAATCAGATGCAAGGGAAATAATTCATAATGTGCCTTACCCTTTAAATGAAGGTAATGAAAAATTACTTTTTATATCTGATGCTCTATATATAATCTGTGAATAATACCGAGAATGTGGTAAGTGACGCCAGGATGGCTGAAAATTGAACATACTTTATCAATAAACAGTAAAGATGTGAGATATTTCTAGAAATAGAAGCATGTGACAAAGAAGTGGGTTAGACTATTTCGATTCATTCAAAAGATACATTTTTAAAAAGAATAGTACAATTTGCATGTTGTAATAGATGTGAAACAGACAGCATCAATAACCATTATATCTATCCATCGATAAGGTCTTTAAGAGCTGATTGGTATAATTTATGTAGCAGAATATAACCATACCACATGTAAGCCTGACAACTCTGGCCTTACCCGGGTCTTTAGGTGATCACTGTACAATATACTAAATCTAATAACTATTTTCAAGCTAATTCAGACCAATTTTTGGGTTGTTAGTTTTGTGAGAATTTTCAACAGCCAAATTTGTCATATCAATTGGTATCCATACAATACTGAACCATTCACAATTCCATCAAGACATGACCAGATATTCTATAATGCCCCTGTGTGCCGCAACATACTTCAATAAAAGTTTCATGTGTACGATATTAAGAAGGTTAAGAAGGTGAAAGAGTTATCAGGCTAACTACACGTAAGAATGGATAAGAATATTCAGGCCTTACTTCTATATGATAGGATTCCTGAGCTGTATATATATTAGCTGTCCATTTACCATTTTCAACATGAGCATCCACCATTGAATCTTTTTCACCTTAAATCGTTAGTTTGATAATGATTAATCTCGTTAAATTTTAGACTTGAATAAACAAATTAATGATAGTGCTAACTTCTACTTATAATTGAAAGTGAAAAAATACCTGCTAATCTTCCTTTAAAAAGCTGATTTTTATTTACATTAATTCCACTTGAACTACCATCATGTTTGATTATTGATGCTTTAAAACCCTGAGCTAAAATGTCATCATTATTCTTCAATAACAGATCAAATGTTCTGAAAAAGATTTTAAATAAAACAACAGTTAATATGATTGATATATATATTGATGTATATATAAAGTTCAACCAATCAGTGTAAACAGTAAACTAAAATAGATAGTGATTCAGAACATGTATTTGTTTAAAGATGGGTTCCCTTTTTTTCAATTATGAAAATGAAATTGCTAATACTTATATGAATAGAAAGTAGAGGTGTTCTAATGACTTGGAAAAATACCAATTTGTCTCACATGTCCATAATGAATTCATACTTCATGCTAAATTAGAAGAGAAATAGCAGGATTCGAATGAGTGACTGATCAAGAAAGGTCAGACAGTATTTTTTGGTTTATCCAGACAGTACATATATGGACATTTATTATTGGCTTAAACTCTTAATCATTATATACAATAAGAACATAATGATATGATTAAGAATACTTGATAGTTCATTAGAAACACAAATTAATCAAATAGTTTGCTTAATTTGACACTAAAAAATAAGGAAGACCATCTTTAAGTTTCTCTCTGAATAATTCATATTTTTTGTAGGCTCAATCTGCCAGTGCCACACCCTGCAATCTCTAATTTCAAAACACTACATATTACCTGCCAAAGGCACTGAATTTAATATCTCTATCAGTGTTTCTTACAATCCCATCAGTACTTCTCTTGGTTCTCTTAACATCTTCTAATGTTGATAGAGTTTCATAATAAAACAGTTTCTTATCTATATCACCTAGAAAATAGATATAAGAACTTAGGTCTAAAACTTTTACAAACAAACGAGTCTGATTTATCAAAAGTTTCTATACTCATACAAAATTGAAATTTTGCATGTTTAATGAAATTTGTATTCTGATTGTAGATGAATAAGAACATGATGTTCTCATACAGCACTTTGTGTGTTTTGGACCTGTTTTCAGCTGTTCTTGAACAAAATTTGTAAAAGTGTTACTTCCCAGGTGTTTAACGCATTTTGCTTTAGTCAAAAGTAACAAATAGTAGAAAATCATTGAAGTGTCCTCTATCATTCAGTCTTTGATAATGATGAAGTATCAAGCTTGGTATTGGATATTGCCAATCATGTATATAATATGTATCAAATTTACATAAGAGCTACTATTCAATATTTATTGCAACAAAGATCTTTTCAAAGGTTTAACAAATTTTTATTATTGTATACCCCAGATTATAAAAGAATAATATTACTGTTAATAAATTGGCAAAATGTTTTCCGAGCTCAGAATTTTAATGAGTTAAAACGGTAACAAGTCAAAATGGTAACAGATCTGCCAAAACAGTAACAAGTTATTTAGGTTAAAACAGTAACAGATCTGCCAAAATGATAACCCAATAAAATGTACTATAAAATTTTCAAATAAATATAATTGTAAAACAAATATGGTAAAAACAATCAAAAACAAAAATTATGATCAGTATATACCCAACTGGAACGAAGCCATTAGCTTGGTATGTCAGCTTGGTATGTCGGTAGATTTCTTTTAATCAACAATTGTGATTTTGATTTGTCAGTAATTTTATTCTAATCAATAATTGCTTTGATCATATTTAAAATGTTTTCATTACTTGGATTGAAGGGTGAGAATTAGTAGCCAAGAGAAGTTGTTTTGCGAGTAAGAGTTATTAGGAATAAATTTTATTTTGTTACAGTCAAGTAACCTAATTTCGTGCTAAACTACTTTTCGTGCATCTCCGGAAATGATTAATAATTTACATGTGCGACCTCGCCTGACCTCTGAATTTGCTTGTTTTGATAAACATGGGTTATTTGCATACTGTCAGATAGCAGAATAAATCCAGTAGTTTCAAGCAAGGTAAAATGTATTAATGTATACTTTGACGTAAACAAAATGGCGGATTTCAATTATCACCAAATATCACTATTTTCAATCGGCCGAATTTCCTTGGAATCGTCTGCTAGAATATATTCCAACAAATGCATGTGACAAACTAACGGATTCCATGTCAGCAGTAAAATTCTATGGAATACAAAGTGGGCCATATTCATATGTAGTTTCAATGACTTTCAGCAATAAATCACTCTTACGTTTTACTTATCTAATTTAGTCACTTAACATTTTTTTTCTTAAATCATTTATCTTTGAAGGAATTGTCACTAGTTATAATGAATTGATATTACAGATAAATACTAAGAAAAGTTAATTATACAGTGGTTTAACCTATTTTCGTGGATATACGGATTCAACATCGAATTTTGTCAAAGTTAAAAAAACAAACAAAAAATTTTATGTGTTCAATGTTTGATCTATAAATAAGTCGAGAAAAACACGTTGTATGGATACCGGGTGGTATAATTAACTTCTCTTAGTATTTATCTTTAATATCAATTCATTATAACTAGTGACAATTCCTTCAAAGAACCACGATTTAAAAAAAAAAATAGTGACTGACAAAATAAGATACGTAGCGTGATATATTGCTAAAAGTCACTGAAACAACATAAGAATAAGGTCCACTTTGTGTTCCGTAGAAATTTTCTGCTGACACGGAATCTGCTATTTGATCACATGACTTCATTCGTTGGACTACATTCTAGCAGACGACACTTGGAATTCCGATTACCCCTTGGGATTATAAGGAAATTCGGGCGATAAAAAATGGTGACGTTTGGTAATAACTGAAATCCGCCATTTTGTATTTGTCAAAGTATACATTAATACATTTTACCTTGCTTGAAACTACTGGATTCATTCTACTGTCTGATATTGTAGAGAAAACCCATGTTTATCAAAACAAACTAATGCGGAGGTCGAGCAAGGTCGCTCATGTAAATTATTAATCCTTTTCTGGAAATCCACGAATAATAGGTTTCCACGAAATTAGGTTACTCGACTGTACCACTGGGTATCCATACAACTGGTTTTTCTCGACTTATTTATAGATCAAACATTGTACACGGAAAAAGGAAACTTCGGTTTCTTAAATCTGACGAAATTCAGTACAGTTGAGTAACCTAATTTCGTGGAAACCTATTATTCGTGGATTTCCGGAAAGGATTAATAATTTACATGAGCGACCTTGCGCGACCTCCGCATTAGTTTGCTTTGATAAACATGGGTTTTCTCTACAATGTCAGCTAGTAGAATGAATCCAGTAGTTTCAAGCAAGGTAAAATGTATTAATACAAATTAATACAAATACAAAATGGCGGATTTCAGTTATTACCAAACGTCACCATTTTTTATTGGCCGAATTTCCTTATAATCCCAAGCGGTAATCGGAATTCCAAGTGTCGTCTGCTAGAATATATTTCAACGAATGAAGTCACGTGATCAACTAGCAGATTCAGTGTCAGCAGAAAATTTCTATGGAACACAAAGTGGACCATATTCTTATCTTGTTTCAGTGACTTTTAGCAATAAATCACGCTACGTATCTTATTTTGTCAGTCACTATGTTTTTTTTAAATCGTGGTTCTTTGAAGGAATTGTCACTAGTTATAATGAATTGATATTAAAGATAAACCCTAAGAGAAGTTACTTATACCATCCGGTATCCATACAACGTGTTTTTCTAGACTTATTTATAGATCAAACATTGTACACGAAAATAGGTGACGCATTCTGCCGCCGTTGCCGAGTTGGTTGCTCATGAAATATGGGTCAAAGTGAAGGATTCATAAAGAAAATCGAAATAAACCAATTTTGATTATTTTGTAGAATATCTGACGAAACATCTAAGACATAAAAAAAAATTTTCGTTTTTTTAACCTTGACGAAATTTGGTGTTGAATCCTTATATCCACGAAAATAGATTAAACCACTGTATTGAATCCTTACATGCACGAATATAGGTTACACCATTGTACCATTTTAACCAAAATATCTTGTTACCGTTTTGACTATTAAAATTTGTTACCATTTTGACTTGTTAACCTTTTAACTGGATACCTTTAGAAGACATTCCCATACTAAAATTATGTGATCATCATCATCACTTATAATTCCTGGCATGTTAGTATTCAATGACAATAAATAGGCCTATTGATAATCTTCTTGCTCAGTAAATCAAGTTGTGTTCATTTTCATGACTTTTAACTTCATTAAGGCTTGGAAGACTTCAAGATGGTTTCTTTATGAAATAAAAAATATAAAAGGAATCCACTTACCAAGTATGCTTTGAATCACAAGAGAGATCACAAAATATAAAGTATAAGTCATTTTTCAACATTATACTTGTGTGGAATTCCCTTTACTGGCATAATGTCTTAAAATAGTAACATGGAAAATACCACTGCGCCCTCTTGATAAGTCAAAACGGTCACTCGGTCAAATAGGACATGTACAGTTTCGTTCTTTTTTATCACATAAGGATATTTTCTACCTGATTTTTGTACCTGAAAATTCGATATGTCAATATATTAGGCTATAATCAATGAAAGGAGAACTATAAATGTAGGTTTCTGAGTGAAGGGAGAATTAATTGGTGTCCAAAGTGACAGCCGCAGTTTCAGGTCTCCTTTACTTGAAAGTTTTCCTGTTTTCGGCACTTTGAACATCGTAGCCGAAGGTGTTATGCGGATCGCGTCATTTAATAGAAAATATAGTGCTACATGGGCAGAAAAGTGGGCTCTTTTCTAAAAAAGTAATATATTTTAGTGTAATTAAAGCATTCAGCTTTAAGTAAATTTATAAGCTACAGTTAATTTGGGAACACTAAAATGGGATGGCATCTGTTTTATGTTTTACTGAGAAAATCCTTTTAAAGCTTTCCTGTTCCTAAGTGACAATATGCAATGTTAAACACAAAGATGGAGATGTTAAATTTAATCTGTTGTATGAAATATGTAAATAACTTGTTAATGTGCTAAATGATCATATACAGAACAGATGTTTCCACTTAAATTTCATTTACCAACTTACTTTGATTGTGGAAATGTTAAAGCAAAGGGTTGATTTTGACTTGTGTAGTTTGTATTCTCATAAAGTGATGAGGATGTTATCCAGAAAAGTAATAGCATATGTAATCCTACTGGCTTTGTTTTTTTGCATCTATTTTTTCTTAACAAGAAAATCTGTTTCCAATACATTCAAACTAGAGATGAATTCAGAATTGATCACAAATAAACCAAAAGTAAGTGTATATTTTGGAGGAAGACTTGGTAATCATATGTTTGGATATGCATCACTTATTGGTATAGCTCATAGTAATAACCTCATACCTGTAATCTCTGAATCAAATCTTTTATGGGATGTTTTCAAACTACCAATTCATTATGGACATTTTGAGGCAAATGTGGTTATTAGACAGAAAAATGTTGGGACCTATGAAAAAATAGTTGAAAATCTAGAGCCAAAGGATACACTTCTAGATGGTTATTGGCAATCATGGAAATATTTTGAAAACGTGAAAGATGAATTATTAACAAAACATTTTCTTTTGCATGATGATGTCGATTTGGAATCTGATCAGTTTATACTAAACGCCTTAAAGGAAAAACATAAAACTAAAGATACCACAATAGTAGGTGTTCATATTCGTCGTGGAGATTTTGTACGCCAAAGATTAAAAGGATTTTCAGCAGCCCCAGTTTCTTATTATTACAAAGCAATGAACTATTTTCGAAGGAAATATTCCGATCTTTTGTTTATAATGGTGAGCAATGATGTATTTTGGGCTGAAGATCATTTAGATCAAGGTGAAGATATTTACTATTCACACAATACACCTGATAAAATGGCATTAGACCTAGCCATACTCTCAAAGTGTAATCATTCAGTGATTAGTTCAGGATCTTTTTCATGGTGGGTAGGTTACTTAGCTGGAGGGGAAGTTGTGTATTATCATTTATATCCTGAGGAAAATACCAAAATTGGAAATGAGACTGTAAAGAAAGACTACTATCCATCAAGTTGGATTCCATATTAATCTGCATTTTCTCATCCTTTCTTCTGATTCACTGTAACATTTTTTTTTTTTAAACTTTTTCATCAATCGCATCAAATTCATTTTCAATTTTAAATTTTTTTCTCAAAAGTCTTACATATTCAAAAAATACTATCAAATGAAAATTTGTTCTTTCATCAACACCAAAGTTTTTTTATGTTGCTAGAAAATGCTTTACAAACTGTTCATTATTATTTCTTTTTATACATTATAATAACCATCAAGAGATATTTTTATGAGTGATATTTGATTTTTTTTAGCCTTAAGGTTTGTGTCCACATTTTCATGGCCTTTTTCGCGGAGAAACCCTAAATAGCATTTCAATACGTCTTTGTCCACATGTGTGTGTTTTAAAAACTGCCACACACAGTGATCCATCTGCTGACAAATTTGTCTGTCTGCAGGTTTCCAGTGTACTTTGTTTACAGATCGATACATTTTTGTATACAGTTGTCATGTGGCCACTTTTTTTGACGCAAAAATTCTTCAGAGTGGCATACACTCTCAAAAATTTGCTACATCGCTCCCTCATTCTTTGTGAGCGAGCCTAAAAATTCTTGGAAATACTCTTGTTTTCCACTAGCACAACTGTTCTAGTCATCTGAGGGCTGTGCAATATACTAGTAATAGTAGTATCCATTTCCGGTTTTTTCTTTCATATGTTTTGGTGTTTAAATCAAAGTGTGTGCAATCATATTACTCAATTATTTTCTTTGTCTCCAAAGTTGATTAAACCTTCATCAACCCTATCGGAATAAGTTTGAAAGCATGATGATTTTACAATGCTCTTGGTCAGAAAAATAGACTCATAATTTATTTTTATGATTATTTTTTAATTAGTGTTTTTAATATTACTCACTTTGAAGTTTCTATTCTATTGTCCTTTCAATACCAAATACTTTAATATCATAACAGTCTCTATTACAATATGTAATGAAATGTGTGCATATAGTCAATCTATCTACCTACAAAAATACTCTTATGTTAACTCTTTCAACCCTAGGGCCGGTTCACCGGCCAAACATTAATGCAGTACCCGAGCAGCCAGTATAAGTGACGTCATTATTTTATTTACTTGGAGTTCAGGGTATATGACGTTATAATTCATTTACAGGATTCAAAGGGTTATCTGATATTACCAAATGCTAACTGTCTAAAATATTTCATGAATACGATGATATTTTCATGAAACTACTTGTATGAATTATTCTAGTCTAGAAGTTTTGTTTTTTCACCTATGTGTTCATGGTACCAAAAGAAACTCATTTTCAAGATGAAAAGTTTTATGGATAGCCGAAAATAATATCTGGTAAAGGACATATTTAGGAATTAATGAAGATGACACCTTTACTTTAAGAGATATATATTTGTGTACATATTGTTTTTGAGTAGATAAAGAAAACATTTTGATGGAAATAAGAATAGTCAATATTGCTAAGCAGATGAGTTAATATTCTCACAATATGCCATTATTACAAATATTATCATAATATCAGCGTTATCCAAAACTTGTTTCTACAGGGATGGAAACCCTTGGAACAGCAATAAAATAATGGGTGTTTTTGAAATCTTTGCCAGCAATATGTAAAAAAAAAAGTAAAACTCTCTTTAAATATTATTATTTGTATACATTTACAACCATTTGTATAAGATGGTTTATTGTTTTATCCTATGTCCACATAATAATGTATATTGTCTTCACGCCTGTCCGTCCGTCGCTCCATCCATCAACAATTGCTTTTTGAACGCAGTAGAGACAACAGTTTTTATCTGATTTGAGTGAAATTGGGTGTAATCATTTATATTAATGAGATCTTGGAATTGGACAATCTTTCGATGAACGGTTTTTGAGTTATTGCCCTTGACTTATGAAAAACATGTCAAAATTTGGTTTTGAACACGATAGACACTACAGTTTTTATCCAATTTAAATGAAATTTGGTGTAAATATTTATAATGAGATCTTTGACAAGTTCAATTTTGGCTATCTTTCGATGAAGGGTTTTTTAGTTATTAAATCAACAATATCTTGCACAAATGAGATTTTTGGTATGATTTGACACAGATAGGTGACCGCCTTTGATATACTGAAAATGTATCAGGAAAGTGGGCGTATCTTGCTAGGCAACCACTTGTATGAAATTCAAGTCATATTTTTTTCATGCTTATGTTTAAACATAGGTTTGTACACTTTTTAGTCACAAAATAACAGATAAGGGTTTTGAGAATATCTGATGTCAATTCATATAAATATAGTTATATTCCAATAGTTGTATACAATTTTAAAATCAAAAGGAAATGCATGGACCCTTCTTATTCAATGTAATTATTTTTATGTTTATTTAAATATTAAATTTGCTTATATATATTCTATTTGTGATCTATGTTGTAACATTGAAATAAATTTCCTTCCTTTGATACCTGTTATTGAGTTATTTCCTTGTATTAAGGACCTAAGTTAAGAGTAAGAATCTAAAGCTTTAAAAGGTTGCATACTTAGTGACATAAGGGACTAATAGCCCCCTTTGTGCTATCTATGTCATTCCTTTTTAACCAGCCATGTACATTTCGGATACAAGATACTTATTAAAAAAGCCTTCGCACTTCTAAAAATAACAAAAAGTTTGATTACTCACAAAATTGAGTTTTATGTTCAGTATTTTTGCTTATATCTTGCTAATCGAGATTCTTCCACTACAGAGCCATTATAGCCTACTATTTCTTTTAGTAATAGTTGGAAATTTTGAACTACATCGCCTATGGCCTGTTTGTTAGTCTGTTTTCATTACTTGTAAGTACGATAGCTGATAGTTTTCATACTGAGTTGAAATCAGTATTGGTATATGGATCAAAGCTAGACGAAATTTGTAACATTATAAGAGCATGTGATGAGAATTGACTTATTTCTCTTTATTTAGGACAAATACAGCTTGTTAGCCTATTGGTTAAGATTTTTCTTCCAACTGATAACTTTGATTACAAGTGATAACTTTGATTACAAGTGATAACTTTGATTACATCTGATAACTTTGATTACATCTGATAACTTTGATTACAAGTGATAACTTTGATTACATCTGATAACTTTGATTACAACTGATAACTTTGATTACAACTGATAACTTTGATTACAACTGATAACTTTGATTACATCTGATGACTTTGATTACATCTGATAACTTTGATTTCATCTGATTACTTGTGATTACAATTTTCAACGCCCACACTATAATGTGGTTGTATATTGTCGTCCGTCCATCCATTCGTTCACAATTGGCTTGTGAACGCAATAGAGACAACAGTTTTTATCTGATTTTAATGAAATTTGGTGTGATCATTTATATTAATGAGATCTTGGACAAGTTCGAATTTGCCGATTTTTTGATGAACCGTTTTTTAGTTATTACCCTTGACTTATGAAACGCATTTAAATTTGTTTGTGAACAGAATAGAGATTACAGTTTTCATTCGATTTAAATGAAATTTTGTGTGAGAATTTATAATGATGAGATATTAGACAAGTTCAAATTTGACAATCTTTCAATGTATTTTTTGAGTTATTGCCCTTGAATTAAATTTGTTTGTGAACACAATAGAGACTACAGTTTTCATCCCATTTAAATGAAATTTGGTGTGATGATTTATAATGATTATAATGATGATTTAATATAATAAGTCAAGATTGAATTTGAGGATTGAATTTGAGGATTTTTTGATCAAACGAATCTAAGTTATTGCCCAGATTTGTTGGCTTGTTAATGCGATAGAGATGACAGTTCATGTCAAAATTTTATTAAATTTTGTGTGTTTGATTAAATCAACAATATCTTGCACAAATTAGATTACATGTGATTACAATTTTTATAAGCGATTTTCTTAAAACTGTTAACTAAAGTAACTTCAACTTTTACAAGAAATAATTTTTCATCAAAAAGCATTTGAATAAAAGTGATTATGATTACAACTCTTAACTTTTGATTACATCTGATTATTTATTGTACCAACTGATAACTAAAGGGTTAAACTAATAATTTGTGATAAGGGTTTTTATACATATTGCTATTGACCTCTCAATATTTGCCTGTAGGCTAATAAGGTAAGCCTACTATCTTTGATGAATTTTCTGTTCTGATTTGGGAAAAGAGTTATTTACCTTTTTGTATTTTACAGGTAAAGCTTTCAACAGCCTTTATAAACTAAACAGATCATCTCATTACTAAAATGTCTAACAAATTAGTTTCGAATTTCTTAATTTCATCAAACTACAGTTTTCTCTTTTTCATTGAAACAAAATATCAATAGCTATGACGTGGTTGTGATGATGAATTAAATTTCAATCGATTCTGGAATAAAATAATACATAATTTATGATGTATCCCATTGTTACATTTATTTTTAAATCATTTTGAATCAATAAATAGAAATTTTCGTTCAACCGTCTAGTAAATTACATATTGATTATATCTAGAATTCATCTTCAATTAACCCTCTATTGACCATTGTTTGGCATTCTCCCTAAATAACAAGTTTGAAAAAGAAATGTGTGATTTATTAACAAAGTGTTCACAAAGCTATGATCAATTTTTAACTTTGGTATTGACTTTGGTAGTTGTGTCCTGGTTTTGGGCTTCTTAAATTGTTATATTCTGCCAAGTCAACATTTGCAATATATTTGTTCAAATCTGACTAATTGCAAGAGCTAAAGCATTTATTCCCTGAAACGAAACATATATAAATTCTTTAATTGGGATACCATGTAAGAGGCCTGTAGCTAACCCAGGGGGAGGCCTAATTTTTTGAAAGGGGGGCAAGACTACAGCGACTCAAAAAGTCATCTAAATTTTTCAGGGGAGGCCAAAATTTTCTTAGTGGGGGCCCATGTAAAAAGAAATATCTTACTTTTGACATCTGATAATTCAATTTAATTCTTTCTAATCTCCCATTTTTAATAGAATTGACTCAAATTTAGGTTTTACTCTGATTTCTTTGATACAATAAAGAAAACTTTCATTTTAAACATTCATGATAATAAAAATCTTGACATTTAATGAAAATCAAACTTAAAAAAGTTAAAAAAGTGGTAAGTAAATATATCATACAAATATCTCTCTGATATCTAACCTTGAGAGGATATCTGGTCACTTCTTTGAGTACCAACTTAAGGAAGGAAGGAATCTCTGAAAGAATAACATTTGAATAGGTTATAGACCTTATTATTCCTTGTTTCAAGCTAATTGTAACGAAACAAGAACTTAAATAATCACATTTTCCATGGCAAACTAAATACTCTCCCTAAATAATTTTTTACTAGGGTAACTAGCACTTGTTAATGAATAGTCCTTGCTTTGGACCTTTCTGTGAGTTAAATTATGCTCATTGATTGTTATTGATATATCAAATAGTACATAGAAATTGTTCTTGTCATCATTCCATTAATAGTGCATTATTGTTGTCATGTCCACTGTCACAGGAATGATATATTTAGTTTCCCGCCAATTTAATAATTTCTGAAAGAGATTTATTACAGGTCTCTTGAAGATAAAATTTCATATTCATTACTTCTTTCCTTTTATATTTAACACCAGAACAATATTTTGAAATGACCATTTAAGTTAAAAAATTTTAAATGGTAAACAACTGTTTTAGGCTATATTCAATTAAACTTCTTTCTTGGAATTGCTAATAGCCTGTACCAGCCTACACAAAAGTGATTCCTGACAGTGGTGTATTGATCAGAGAGAGAAAGATGTATGGTATGGAGGATTGTAGAGTAGTTCAGTGACGTGTGGAACCAAACACTACACTTCCACTGACAGTTGTAAGGAATACCACTATTGTAATGAATGAAAGATATAGGAATTAAGCGTTAGTTGACACAAGGCCACCTTGTTGTTTGGCTGTGATGTCCAAAATGGCCAAAGTTGGAAGTAGTCCTGGTTTAGCCAGACCAAGTAAACTGTATGATTCGGATGATGAGAAGTTAGACTTAAAGTTGGATGGTATCAGATCTCAACCTAAAACTCCTTTATTTATTTACATTTTAACATTTTTTGCTGCACTTGGTGGCTTTTTATTTGGATATGATACAGGAGTGATATCAGGTGCTATTATTTTGCTTAGAAATACATACAACTTGTCTTCAGTGTGGCAAGAGGCGGTGGTTAGTGTTACTGTAGGGGCAGCAGCTATTTTTGCACTCATTGGAGGTTACCTGAATGATAAGATGGGAAGAAGACCAGTGATAATGGTAGCAAGTTTAATTTTTACCATTGGATCTATATCTATGGCGATAGCAAAAGATAAATTTACTCTGTTATCTGGCAGAATTGTGGTAGGATCTGGCATTGGTGAGTACAATGTTATTATCTCTCTGTATATCATAAATTAATGTTTGTGATTCAAGTAAACAATTAATAATCTACATGTTATATAAGAGTGAAAATGTTTTTCAATTACTTATCTTCATTCACATCAAACACTATTAGGGTTTGCTACATACATAAATACTAAATGTACGAGATCTCTCTTTGAGATTTGTAACAAAAGCATTGTCAGTCTATAGGCCCACATTACACTTTATTTTTGTTTTTGGTTCTTTGGATTAATCAATACCTGAAAAGGTGAACAAAATCATTGTCTTTAAAGAAATCTGAAGTTTTTCTTAAAGATGTAGTAACCTCATTTTGAATTATTTCAAACTAATAACAGAAATGTGTTATATTTCAATAATTTATTACTATATTTAATTTCAATGAATCTGGTAGAGAATTACAGAGTGGAATAGGAGTTGCTAGATCAAGGGCTAGATGTTGGCCGACTCATATGACATTGATGGATTCACATTGAGTGATCATTCCAGACAATGTATATATAGATATTAAAAGCTCATGGCAGAGTGGACTAAGAAGGGAGCTGATGTAGCTATGACTATTTAGAAGGAAGAACTCTTTTAGTTTTTGAATATTGTTGAAATGACTACAAACTCTAGACAAACATGACATTAATATCCCTTAATGTATAAATCATTTAGATCATCATAAAGCATTGAGTCCAATATGAAAATGTTATAAATTGTACTCTATAAATTGTATTATTTCAGTTATAATATGACGAAAATCTATCTATATTCAAATTGTGGAAATAATTTTCCACCTTATTGGGGTAAAACACCAATTATTCAATAAAGATTAATTAAGAAACTGGATAATTGAGATATTTAAGATTTGAACAATATGACTCAGACAGACTTATGATTTACCATGATAATCATTGTCATTTATCATAATTATTTAAAGAGAGTTTAAAGTTTATGATTTGATACCGGATGAAGCTTGTTTTAGGCATGTTACTTACTGTTCTGGATCTTTTGATGATGGATAACCAACTGAGATAAAACTGATTCAATAAAATTTTTGGTTGGTGATAAGATTAAAGATGATGGACGATATGTCAGGACATTCTACTCTTTGTATTAAACTGTCAAAGAATCACTGAATTATTGATGTCATAGCTTTGGGCACAACCCATGGATCAATCAGGTTTACTGAAACATCCAAAAACGTGGTTATTTTCACCATGTGAGCCAGTCTGATCCGTATCACTGACAGGGAAAAAACAGGATGAAAAATCTGAAGGTATCCAGACTTATTTCTGAATCAAAATCCCAGACCACTAGTTGAAAGAGCAAACCTGAGTCTCCTGCTTTCTCTCATCATAAAATTCTACAATGAACTCATTGCTAGTCACTTACTGTGGTCACATCGGTCAAATTATTGATGGTGAAGAATTGGAATTTGTTTGGACTCTTTGCAAGTAGTGACATATATTGAACAGGCCATGGAAGTTTGGAAATGGCTTTCCTTTGATATAAGCTTCTTGGAATTTAAAATGATTTATTTAAAGACCACAGCCTTTCAACGTTTCTAAGATAATAGCTTCGAGTCATGTATGATTTATTGAAGAGAATGAATTACTCACAAAGTATCCTATCAAATAATAAGAATTTCTCCACTGTTTTTTTCTATAAATTCCTGTCATTGATTACTTTGTGTTTTGTTTTTTAAGGACAATGTGGTACAGAATCTTCCAAATTATACCTTCATTGTATGGCAGAAGAAATTGTAACATAAAACCCTGAGGTTATGAAACACTTTCCACTTCATCCATATTGATAATTTACACAATATGCCTGATTTAACTATTATTATTGATTACATTACATAACTTGGTTAGATTCTTTTAATTTGTTCGTACATCTTGACTTAATTGGCCATCTGTGTTGTTTGATCAGATCATTGAGCATTCTGCTTTATGTCAAGTTGTATGTAGGCTTTAGAATCAAAGCACCCACATGAGAATATCAAGCTTTTTAGTGAATTGAATTTCAGTGACACACAATATTATTTTCCCTAGTAAACACGTTACAATCTATCTATGGTTTGTAAAATACAATTTGGATGATGTAAAGATGATGGTGAAGTGAATAAATATGCCTTTGTCGACCAGTAATGAATTTTTAAATGGACATTCTTGTTAATATTTTACAGATTGAAACAATTTGAAGGTCTTATTTGAAAATGCGTATGCTTTTTGATGGAAGTTCATATTTTATCAAACTTGTATAAATAACAATGCATTATAAAAATCCTAAATTGACTCGGCTGTTTAACTTTGATTTGACATGAAACATTGTTTATCCAGATTCATTTCCGCATTTAACAAATAAATAAATCATGAAGTCTATTAATAAAAAAGATACATGAATGTGCTGTTTGATTGTAATTGTTGATCTGGTTTATTTATAGCATGGTTTACTTGACAGTGAAAAGCCATTACATCAAGAATTGTTAGTAAACCGTTTTTGTAATGCATTTTGTATTAATTATGATGTAAATGATTGTTCGATAGAGTAAAATTGTTTTTTTACATTGTCCATAAAAGTTAAAATCTAGTTTCCATTGACAGACTCCATTGTCAAACAGACTTCAAGTGTTGTCTTCATTGTTCAACAGGGTTAAAGGTAATCTCCACTGTCAAATAGTGTTGTAGAGAAGTCTAATATGAAATTCAGGTTTGTCTACAATGAAATAGATAGGATTCACTGCCATGATACATTAACCATCAGTCTCAGAGAGCAGTTCTGGTGTTTACAAGAATTACCAGACATGCCAATGGGAAATCAAGTAATGAACACTCTTGAAAAGCCTTCAATATGAAGCTTTGAAAACAGCTGCTTGAACTAAGTATTCTATTTGTACCTGGGCGTGGAAACATGTCCAATACATTCTAAAGGGAAAGGTTTGGCATTTTGGGGGGTTGATTTGAGTCTAGAAATAGTCTTCAGAAGTGCTAGAAATTCCTTCAAAAATATCTCGAACTAGGAATTTCTTTTCCTATTTATATATGATGCCTATTCTATATATGGCAGTGTCTCAAGAAAAAACAACTCATCTTTTAACTTTCAAATGCTGATAATGATTGACTTAGCTAAAAAAAAATTGTTTCTGAGACTAAGGTATGATTGGTCAAAACAAGGCGAACCTTAAATTGTCTCCTGTACAGTTGTTGTGTACAATTTGTAAAGCTAACTTTAATAGCCTAAAAAAGTCAAAAAGGCAAATAAATAAATAAAAAGATGAATATCGATTACCAAATTGAGATTGATTACTGATGGCAGACAATAGCAATCGATAATCAATTAATAATCGAATAATTTAATTGAGAAACCCTGTAAATACTAAATTAAAAACAAAATGTAACTTTAATATATAATTGATTATGAAATTTGATAATTGATAATTGAAATTATAAATTCTAGCGACTATAATCGATTATTTTGATCATTTTACCCAGTCCTTTATATGAATGCCTAGTGCACATGTAAAATGTTGATTTGCATGCTGTAATATAAGATATGTGACTAGCACACTACCCATCAGTCATTTTAAAGTTGTAAGTATGATTTCAAGTAAATGATCAATACAATATTGATGAAATTACATTTTATGACTACAAAAGTAGTTAAGTGGTGTTTAAAAGTATTAAATAAACTTGATTTTGTTGTAATGGAGTTTACATTGTCATTATAAATAAGATAATTTAGAAATGTAGTTGTTGAGGTGAACAATTGGAAGTATAGATTACTATAAATGTTTATTTGATGAATAGTAATGTTTTTGTATTTAACCTGTGTATTGTTATGTTCAGATTTGGTGCATATCGAGGAATGATTCAAATTAAACACGACCAGTCTCATTTAAATAAAGATGGAATGGGATTGAAACTAAGAACAAGGAAACTTAAAGAGATTAGTTTTCTGATCACAAACAATTCTTTGTCACATAAGGAGTTTGAGATTAGTGATGTCATCAAACACTTAGTTTGAGTGGAGTTGCAGGAACCACAGACACCTGATTGAAAATTGGAATGATGCAAATTGAATCTATCAGTGTAAATTTTTGTAGAAAACCTCTTTGCATCTTTTTTTTTACTCTATAAACTACTGAAAAGCAAAGATTGTGTTTATGATTGGAATCAATCAAGATTGTGTGTGCAAATATCTCTCTCAACTACACATTTACATATACATTAGATCTTGAAAAAGTGATGAAAAAACTAAAATGGAATTAAAAAAATAATATGGGATTGAAATGAAATACAAGAGAATAAATATAGTGTTTTATTGAAATATAATAAAAAAAATGAAATTGAAATACAGATTTTCTTTTATGAATTTCAATCCAGGAAACGTGAAAGGATATTTACATTTATTGAACAAACAAAAAACTATTTATGATTTTCTTTGAAACTTTGTTGTAATATTTGATAAATCTGTAGTTATTTTGTTTGTTTTTTTGTAAAGAACTAATTGTTGGAAATGTCTGCCCTGTTGGAGACAGATTGTCTAGAAAATTGATTATTATTGAACATAAGAGAGTTATTGATTGATTCAAAGTCCAATTATCCATAAATAGATCATTGATTGTGTCCTTGTCAATTCCTTAAATTAAACTACCTCCCACTTTTTCTTATCATTGAATGATTTTGAATCTTAGGACTACATCAGCTACATGCAACTATAGTCGAAAGATTCATTAGAAACTGCAATTTTTTTATGAGATTTCATGTAAATAATGGCTGTCAATGAAAAGGCTAAGTTTCTCACAAAAATTGATTAAGTGGAAGATATATTCTATGAAAATATGTAATAGTTAAATCACCCGTGAATGTTTTCGCCAAAGTTATGTTCACAAAATAATTCACAGTAGATGACTATAATAGATATAGTAATAATAAATATCAAGCCATGATATGATTATATTTGAATATTTTAGATACAACAATATGATATAATGATATATTGATTTATTATTGGTTCAA